ACTGTGAAGAGTACAGTGAAAGATAGTACTTGGTGGACCTTGGCCTGAGAGAGAGGAGGGAGGAGGCCTCACAAACATGTACACAGATTGTACGATAGTCGCTGGCGGTGATAAGCTGCGAGTTGTTACTAGAGGAAGAGGGAGAGAACAAAGAGAAATCTTAGGTAAATCGTGGTAAATACTTAAGTATACACACATTGCACTGTTGCATCTCCGAAGAAGAAGAAGAAAGAAGCCGATGCGGACCGTGTGACCATGGTGAAACCGGTGGTGTTGATGGTGGTGGTGGTAACGGTGGAAACAACGACGCTAATCACATGTACTTTTTTCGATCCTCTTTATTCCCATCATCATCATCCTCTTTAGCATGATCATGTGTTTCCTTGGGGGGAAACCGTCCCAATGTTGAGCGCCGTTGTTTCTAGACACGTCAGTTTGTTGCGTAATGGGGGTGAAAGGGGGAGGGGATAAGAGATGAGGAGGAGAGGAGAGGAGAGGAGAGGAGACGTGACTTCCACTACATCATCTTCAGCATTGGCATCTTCCGTTGGGGCAGTAGTGCCTTGGGGAAGACACTTTCCCTCCCTCCATCTCTCTCCCTCTTTTTCTCCACTGTGCAACAAGTTCATTGCACGTGGCTGATTAGATTGTTCTAGAACTGGTAGGGATGGTGGTGGTGGTGGTGGTGGTGATGGAGGAGGTGGAGGTGATTTGGAGATGTTTGGGTGGTGATAAAAACAGGCAAACAAAGAAGTGTAGGCAGGCTGGAAATGCTCATCATCACTGACTCACTTGATTGACCTCACGTCTATTTCTCAGTCGTGACAATGGCGGCGGCGGCGGCGGCGGCGGCGGCGTGTCACACCAGGGTAGAAATATTCCAATCACAAAATTGAGATTCGGAGCGGAGTTTCCTTCCACCAGAACGGGCGCTGACTCACGTAGACAATCTAGTGAAGTACATCACACAAATAAAAGCACTGATAGGGGATCAGCGGGGTGATTGGGGAGTGTGTGTGTTAAGTGATTGAGTGCAAAGTAGGGGAAGATGCTGGTGGTGATAAGCAGTTTAGAGAGGATAAGCAACCTGTTTTCTGTCTATTTTTCGCCTGTCTTTTTGAGTCAGTTGTACTGTATTGTTTAGAACAAAGGACATAGGTGTCTACAGCAATTATCTGGTTGAACTCTGGAGATGTCCGGTGTCCGGTGCTCACTGGTCATCTAACATCAGTTTAGTTGCTTCCTTATGAGTTGCCCCTTTTGCCCCGGTGAATCAATCTCTTTTTGAGGAAGTACAGAATTTTGCACTGAATCTCACTTACCGATTAAGCGGAAAATTAAAAATGTAGGCGGACAGAAGCGGTTCTTTACTCTTTTCTTTCTTTCTTTGAAAGGTAAGCCCAGCCAGGAAATAGTGATCCACAACGTGTGTGTCTGGTCACTGAATCCTGAAGTGAATTGAAGAGGCTGACCACTCTACCGAATTGAAAACCCGATCAATGCCCACTTTTGTTGTTTTTGATTTGATTTGACTTGAAAGCGGCGGCGGCGAACTCTTCCTTCTTCAGATCACTTTTCAAATCTTTCGGACACTACCTACTACCTGAAAGAGGAGAAATTTTTTATTTTTAGCGTGGGTGGTGGTGGTGATCGTTTTGAAGTACGGAATCGAAATTGTACGGCAATAAAAAGTTTTTGCCTACCCTCTGTACGGCTATTCTTTTTTATTCCTTTTTTGTTCTTCTNTGGTGGTGGTGGTGGTGGTGGTGATCGTTTTGAAGTACGGAATCGAAATTGTACGGCAATAAAAAGTTTTTGCCTACCCTCTGTACGGCTATTCTTTTTTATTCCTTTTTTGTTCTTCTTTTTTGCAGCAGCGGTCAGCCGGTCGGCCATTCCACTCTAATCGGCGACGGCAATTACAGTGTTACAAGAAGAATAAAAAGAATAAAATGAAGAAGAAGAAAAGGCAGCATAAAAAAAGAACAGAAACCAGAAACTCCGCAGAGAGATGCTGGTAACTGTAAACTACGGCCAATTGAGCCCAACTGCTGCTGCTGCTTAAGTTGACTCCCACGCACTTCTCATCTTTTCTTCTTCTTCTTCTTCTTCTTCTTTTCTTTTCTTCTTCTTCCGAGATATCATTCATTCATTCATTTTTCTTCTTTCTGCTACTGCTAATTGAAAGCAAAGTAATAGAGCACCAACCAAGAAGAAGAAGAAGATGATGATGATGGTGCNCTTCCGAGATATCATTCATTCATTCATTTTTCTTCCTTTTTGCTACTGCTAATTGAAAGTAATAGAGCACCAACCAAGAAGAAGAAGAAGATGATGATGATGGTGCTCAACTTTCCCGCACATGGCCACTTACTTTTTTAGTAGCCAAATTAAGCGTGGAACATGGACAAAGGAGCATGCACATTCCAGCGCGCGCACACACACACACCGAAAACGAGTTAGAACTGGAATACTTGCCGTACTTCTGCCGTACAGTGCATGGCGCACTGCCGGGTTACCAGCAGCAGCAGCAGCAGCAGTTTGTATTCCCTTCTAAATTGGGATCATCAATTGGCGAAAGGCCATGGCCACCTTACTTCTAAATCCGTCACTCTGCTGTCCACCAACACCCGTTTGAGGGTCCGCTTGGGGACACTCTGATTCCTTCTGATTCCTGCTTGCTGTACCTTCATTTAATTAGAGTGATTTAGTTACGCACGAAGACGATGATGATGATGATGATGATGATGATGATGGACAATCTCATTTGCATTCCCTTCCAGCGGACAGGGCACACACACACAGGTGTACAACAGCAGTAGTGAAGAATTTGTACAGCAGCAGAAGCAGCAGCAGCTGTTCCGTCGTCTACTCGCAAATCAGAAACCTACGCAAACGGATTTTTTTCCCTTCATTTAGATTCTCTGTCTACCTGATCGCCTTTGCTCAAGCTGGCCAAAGGCGGTTTGAGTAATGAATTTCCATTGTGGATTCTTTTTGTGCTCATTCATTCACGAGAAAAAAAGGATAGAAAAATTGAAGAGGATTTTGCAATTTGCCCACTCAGCCTTGAGCGATCAGCATCATCAGCATCATTTCTATTTAGAGCGCTTTTAGAGCCGCTTTGTCCCTCAGCCAAAAATGCTGGATCTATTGTTATCTTTTCTAGTCAATTTTCAACAAACAAAACAAAAAACTGCCCTTGTATCATTCAAAATGTCACTTGAGGCGAATCACCTGACGAAATTTTTGCCAGCAAAACACAGCCAAAACAACCACACATTTTCCTATCAATTTGCCAGTTTACATACACCTAACCAGTTAATCAATCGAAAAATCAATCAAGTGAAGGGAAAAGGGGCTAGGAACACAAAAAATTGGCTCAACATCCGCCGCCATCAATGATATGGAAACCGAAGGAGAGAAACAACCATTGAAAGAGGAGAAAGTTCTACAACTCACTCACTCCATTCACTCAATCTCCCGCTCAAATCAATCTACATCTCGTAATTAGTGCAACCGACAGCATAAACACAGAAAAAGAAAGAGAGAGAGAGAGAGAGAGAGAGAAAGTAGTGATAATAAGATAAAGGAAAGACGACTAACAACAAAAAAAAGTTAGCAGGCGGAGGGCACCGAGTGGGCTTGCACTTGACAAAAAAAATGAGGGGAGGATTCGCACTATTTTCTTGGCGATCTGTCAAATTTTCCCATCTAGGTTGGAAAGGGAGGAAATGCTGGCGACGGTGGTGGTGGTGGTGGTGGTGGTGGTGAAAAGTCTGGAAAGTAGGATAGGATGAACGTCTAGTCCAGGGTCCGAGTTGTTTGTATTCATTTGTTACTTGTACGGCAGTGTTTCCACTTGGCGAGCAGGTCTCCTCTCTCCTCTCCTGTCTTATCACTCATCTACACTCAAACTTGGACCAACTGTCAAGTGTCTCCTCCAAGGCTTCTACAGAGAGAAAAGAGATCTATTTTTGGCCGGTAGTATTTTTTCAGCCATCATCACCATCATCACCAGCAGCAGCAGTTATCATTGCACTTACACATCAGCAGCAGTGGCCACACTTCCCCTCGATACTGAGAAGCAGAGACTGTTGTACAATAGTTGTACAACAGAAACACCACTAATTGACAACTATTTGATGCGACGGCAGATGAGAAAAGAAAAGAAAAAAGTGCACTACTGGCGTGATTGTACGGCTTGTGTACGGCGGCGGCGGTGCTGNCATCATCACCAGCAGCAGCAGTTATCATTGCACTTACACATCAGCAGCAGTGGCCACACTTCCCCTCGATACTGAGAAGCAGAGACTGTTGTACAATAGTTGTACAACAGAAACACCACTAATTGACAACTATTTGATGCGACGGCAGATGAGAAAAGAAAAGAAAAAAGTGCACTACTGGCGTGATTGTACGGCTTGTGTACGGCGGCGGCGGTGCTGTAGTAAACACAAATAATCACAAAGCATAACTCTACACGTCGACAAAGTTGTAGAGCTTCCGATTACCCTAATCACACTGTGTTACTGTGTAGAGTAATGTCTGCTTTAATGAGTGCGTTAAGTAACCGATTGGTTCTGTTTGTGTATCACTATTGTTGCCGTAATTATTAAGAAGAAGAAGATGAAGAGGTGTTCAGATCAGGAGAGTTCAAGGACCGGCCGTCTTAAGTAGTAGTGGTAGTGGTAGTGGTAGGCGTGCCGTGGTGGTAGTGGTAGTACATCAGAGGCACCGGCGCCACGCCCCGCCTCCTCCTCTCCCCGTTCACCTCCGCCTCAATGACGGGATTGAGCTGGGCGGCGGTGGCCGCCGCCAGTCGGCGCTGAATGGACCGCCGGTAGGAGAAGCGGCTACTGCGCACCCGGCGGCAGTCCTCGTAGTAGCCACCGCCGGAGTCCACCTGGGTGGAAAGAGCCGCGTAGAGGACCGTCTCCGCCCCCTCTTCAGGGGAGCGAAATAGAAGCTGGGCGACGAGGGGAAACCGCCGCACCCACCAGACGTTCTCGTAGAGGGCGGTATTGACGACGCCAGGGTGGAGGGTGTTCACGAGGACCGAGGGAGGATTATCTTCTTGGTTTTCATGCTCCTTGAGCCACTCCGCCAGCCAGTAGGTGTGCATGAGGATGGCCAGCTTGGACTGTGCGTAGGCGTGGTAGGGCGAGTAGGGGCTGGCCCGGGATTGCAGGTCCTCGAGAAAGAGGTCTCGGGCGTAGTGGGTCGAGGAGGAGACGTTGACGATGCGAGAGGGATGCGTGTGCTTGGAAGGCCCCGTGTAAGAGGAGCCTCCTCCTCTCTGAAGGGCAGGCAGGAGGAGCCAGGTGAGGAGGGCGTGTGCGAGGTAGTTGACCTGGTAGTGCTCCTCGAAGCCGTCCTCCGTGTAGGCCAGCGGCACGTACATGACGCCGGCGTTGTTCACCAGCAGGCTAAGCCGACCACCAAAGCGGTCGGTGAGGTGCTCCGCAAAGCGACACACCGCCCCCAGGTCGCGCAGGTCAATCTGGTAGATGTGTAGGCGGTCTTCATCATCAAGCTTATCATCATTCTCTTTATCACAGCTGTCGTCATCGCCGCAGTCTTTTTCTGCAGTCAGTTTTTCGCCATTTCGAATTCGCTCCGCCAGCTGCTCCCGCTCCGGGGGCGTCAGTCCGTGGGCGGTGACCACCACCGTGGCACCTCGCCGATAGAGTTCAGTGGCCACGGAGAGGCCAATGCCACGGCTGCCACCGGTGACGACGGCCACGTAGCCTGGAGGGAGGCGTTCCGGAATGTCCGGAATATGGTCAGCAATACCATCAGCAGCAGCAGCAGTCCTGCCGCCGAGGTTACGAACCCGCCTGGAGAGCTTCCGATGCAGCTCCACCAGGAGGTATTTGGTGGCGAGCCAGTACAGCTGAATGGTGGTGAAGAGGAGGAAGGCCCAGGTGACCAGGCGGTGCGGCAGCAGGCGGTAGAGGGTCACCCAGAGGAGGTAGTCAGAGAGGGCGACCAGCGAGGAGAGGCGAGGCCATTCGAAGGCTCGAAACGGGGCTGGAGATGAGGGTGATGGAGGTGGTGGTGAGGGTGAGGCTGCTTCACCCTCGGGTGAGGAAGAAGGAGAAGAGGATGACATGCTTCGAGGTGTTTGCCGAACAGTTGTTTGTTGTTATCTTTTCTGATATTCACTGGTGATGATGGTAAGCAATGTGTGCGTTTGTGTTTGAGCAGGCTAGGTACAGCTCAGCTGATTTTGGGTACTGTCTCTGTGCACTGTAGACTGATGTAAACAAGACTGAGCTGACTGTGTGTAGCAGAGGCAGCAGCCGAGGCAACGGCGACAGAGGCAGCAGCAGCGGCGGTGAAGTTCACACACTGTGTGTAATGGTTGCAGTACAGTTTGGCTGATGATGATGATGACTGTGCACTGCACTGCAAATGCCTCCCTCTCTTCACGTGTCTGATGTTCGAACTTGCCTTCTTTCCTTGTCTTCTTTTCCCACCCCTCTTTTCCTTAGCAGCAGCAGCAGCAGCTACTTTGGTACTTTCTTTCACTGGTTAATTATTTTTTAGCAGTTGGTGAAGCCCAATTGTACAAAAAGGTGCTGCTGGTGCTAGGGAAGTAAACCGGTACACCCAAATATGACTGGAAAGGCCGACTGACAGACAGACAGACTGCCAGCCAGCCAGACAGAAGGTGATATCCCCGATTTGGCTGGAGGAAAGTGTTGCCAGTAACGATGATGATGATGATGATGAACAAGAGCTGATCAAGAGTGAGCGAAGTGAGTGAAGTGTCCAATCGAAGTGGCACATCGACCGCTGCCATCAACCCCAATAACCATCACCATCATCATCGTCACCACCGTCATCGTCATCAGAGCAAGTAGTCACCGGTTTTGCTGGTGGTGGTGGTGCTGAAGATGAGATTGAGAGTGAGAGTTCGCAGAGCGGTCTATCTTTCGAGTCAACTTCAGTACAGCGAATTATAAGTTCTAGCAGTCCTTCCTTCTCTTCCTTTAGAGGGTCTTTGGCTACAAACGGCTCAGAGAGTGAGAGATGGAGGTTAGTATTAGGTCGCCGCTGTTCAGAGCTGAGTATTTCCTTCTAGCTCTTTCGCCTATGTCAAATATAATCGTTTGCCTGACTATGATGTGTGCTTCAGTGTTTCGGTATCTCTGTAGGTCGCACATAGCAACCACTACTTTTGCCACCACCATAAAGTATCACTGTTTCCTCCCTCTTCTCATCTCCATCATCTCCACCATCATCATCTTCTTTTTGGTCTGTTTGTTTACTCGCTGGCACAACGAGATTTGATAGCAATCGATGATGATGGTGATGGTGATGGTGATGATGATGAAGATGGCGAAGAAGATGGTGAGGATGAGGATGAGGATGAATGAAGAGAGCGATCGCTAGCCAGCCAGTCGTCAGCCAGCCAGTCTGCGGCCTCAAGACGAAAGCGAGAGCGACGTGACTTCTTCAAGGCGAACATCGACATACTTTTTTTCCTGCCTGGACTTTCTCTCTCTCTCTC